GTCTCCATAATGCGGACCAGAACTCGAAGATTCCCAGGGAATGGCAGAAAGCTAGCGCAGAAAGAACGATACTCAGGGATATTCACTTGCCAGCTGCACCAAGGCTCAACTGCAACTAAACATACGGTAGTTTCCCGAAATAGGGGGACACCAATATAGACCCGAAAAAACATGATCCTTACTATGGGGACCCCCAAAAAGGTACCCCTAATCTTGGGGAGACTTATAAGCCCTAAACCTTACATACACCTAGATTTTTTGCAGCTTTCTGAGATGAATTTCCGTCTTGGGGTCCCACTATTTTGGGAAACTACCATATAATCTCCTGTATAACTCCCTTTGAGTCGTTTAGACTACAGCTCATATGCCTTGACAGCTATGCCTCACAACAAGGGTCCCTGTCATCAACCATACACCCTAAACCTTAAACCCCAAACCCTTCACCCTAAACCCTAAACCCTACAGGGGATATATAGGGCTATATAGCGTGTAGGGTTTCCCAAAATTAGGGATATCCGTTTGCAGGTCCATAGAATAAGGATTATAGTGTTTGGGGGTCTATATCAGGCTCCCCCTATGTTGGCAAACTACCAGGTCCCTTCAAATAGCCTATCCCACCATAGATTTTCCCCATTTCTTCTGTCTATAGGTTCCTCCCGTGGACAGCTTCGCCACGTGCTTGGCAGCGTCGCTTGCAAGGCCTTTTGTTTCCTTGATTTTGGGGAAAACTGGCATCCGAGGTCCGATACCCGCACCCGGCGTTTTGGTTGTTACCCTAAACCCTAAACCCTAAGCCGTACCCTAAACCCTAAACCCCTTGGCAAATGGGTGGATCATGTTTCCAGATGGCGAATGCCTCACGGCTACGGGCCGCATAATTCTGCTGATGACATGTCTTGTTGAAAAGGACGACCTTTCTGTTCTGCCATGCCACCCAACTTCAAGCATTGATCCCTGATGCTGCTTGATTCAAATCCGTTAGCGTGATCTTTGCGTATTCAACAGAGTCTCACTGCTGTGGAACAGACCTTGCAGACGCATATTTCATATCGTTGCAAAGGATTCTGTAGCTTTCCAGGTCAGCCCGCATACTGTGCCCAAGTATGGGGCGACAGTGAACCTGACCAGCTTGTTGCCCTTGTCTCCTCCATTTTGATCTCAAGCAACAATTTCTAGGGATGTCTGTTTACCTGTACTTGAAGCTTGATGTTGAAAACCGTCTTGCATAGCGCAGGTCACTTGTGGAGCACTTTGGCTCCCTGGACAGGGCCTTCTACGCCCTGGCGCATGGTGGTACAGGAAGTGCAAAGAGGTTAAGGGGTCCATGGTTTGGAGGACACACCACTATAGTTGAAGCTGGCAACGGCAACGGTGGTGTGGACAGAATTTGAGGCTGATTCGAAGCCCTTTATTATGATGGCTCTAGCTTAGTCTTGGGGCTTTGCAGGAAGCCCGTCAAGCCACAGAAGGACAGGTCTAATTAGGTCGGGAGATCATGTGAACTGAGCAAACGAGAAGGCCTGATGAGGGTGTTTGATTCAAGGTGCAGGGATGCGTGACGATTTCGATTTCAGAGAACACCTTGAGGCTGAGGCGTTTTTGTTGTGTGCAAGGGGTGCTTCCGTCCGGCGATTGCATTGCGAGACACCAACTTGATTTGCCCTTTTCTTATCGCCGCTTTGATGGCTCAAGATCACTAGAAGAAGGCAGGATGTCTGGGCCCTGCAGGCAAAATTCAGGAATCCTTCTCCCTTGTCGGATGATATGGCCTACAGCTATGACAGCTATGATTGGCCCTCGAATCACTCTAGGCGCCCTACACCTTTTCGCCTTTTCGGCAAGACGGGCTGGCGTCCTCTCTTGCCTGCCGTTCTGCGTTTCGAAGTGACGTGAAGTACTTGTGCTGAATTTCCTAGCATGTTCCTTCATATAGCCACAATGTTCGTCAAGACCTTTGCCACTCCTACCACAAGATCCCAAAATCCTGTAGCCCAAGCTGCTTTCTCAAGGTCTTTGCCATCCCTACATGCTGAAAGAACTTGATGGCATCAAGAAGCGCCCCAACATAGACCCCAAGATATCAGAATCCTGATAATGGGGACCCCCCCCAAAAGGCACCCCTAGTTTTGAGAAACCCCGGCTTCAGGACGCTTGCGACGAGCAGATTGGCTGAGGGAGCTGCATCCTTTGCAGGCGGCAAAGTTCTGGCTGGTTTAGGGTTTAGGGTTTAGGGTTGAGGTCTTTGGAGTTGCAGGCCTTTTGAGTTTTTGGGGTTTAGGGTTTGGGCTTTGAGGGCAAGAGGGTTTGCACTCCTTGTTTGGGTGTCCTTTCCAAGTCGGCTGTCCAAAAATGGGATGTTGTCAGCAATGCACCTCATGTAGAATTCAGTCCATTCGTAAGTGAACATCTTTGCTTACGGGACTTCAGTTTGGAGTGTACGCACTGCTGTTGTGCAACGGAATGAACAAGGACCAGATCGAAGAAATCGGCCCTTCGCTGAGCAAGTTCTTCACCATGATCCAGGCCAAAAAGTATTTGCAAGGGCCCTTGGTTTTTTCATGTCATTGTTGTTGGTTCAGCCTCTGGGATTTGCAGAGCAAGCTGCGCAGAGCTGTGCAAGCGATCAAACCCTAAACCCTACATAACCCCCATATATCCCTATAGTCCCCCTTACAGTTTTTGGATGCGTTGGTTTGTCCATGGTGGAGTTTCTGGCGCCTCAGAAGACCTTCAGCATCCTTCGAGCTAGATTTGGCTGGGAATCTGCAAGCGTTTGTCCCTTCAATATATATATATATATCTATAGCCCCCCTCAAGTAGATAGAATATTGGGTATATTATTGGGGTTACATTAGGGATAATGGAAAAGAAAATGGAAACTACTATATTATAATCGGGTATATATTGGGGTTATGGTCTTCCTTAAGTGGATAGAATATGGCTGTGGGTAAATTATAAGATCCCCATATACCCCATATTCTATCTACTTTAGGGGAACTATAAGGGCTGAAGGGTTTAGGGTTGGCTTTTCACCAAATACGACTATTAGCACTGCATGCTTGCATTAGCCATATTCTTTCACGAGGCGTTTCCTGTGCCGAGTTCTTCTGATGCTTCGTGCTACCTAGTCTTTAAGCCACCCCATAAGAGTAGTATTTTATTGGGGGATACTATGGTACTCAATTTAGAGTAAGGTTATATCTTTTGGGTATGCTTTGCAATAATTATTCTCTATGATTCTATATTAATACAGAATATACGTAATCTTGCTGGGTTCAACTACCCTGAAAGCACAACTCACAAGATGCCTCAAAACCCCCAAGACCATGCCGCCCTCGACGCCAGAATGTTCTGACCTCCGGCGCACATGACAATTTCCGAACATCAAATATTTTCTCAAGCGCTTGGTATTCACGCGCGGGGGCTCCTTGCAATGGGGACTAAGCGCTGCAGCGAATTTGTTGGGCACCTTAGTGTGCTACTGACCAATGAGACATGAGAAAAACCGTAGAGACAAAATTGCTGTGGATCTCGCAGAGAAAAGGCGTCCAGCAGGATCTTGTGGCCGTGTTTTTGCTTCTGCCTGCTGCATACTTGATGCAGGCCGTGGGAGTAGCACAGCAAGACTCCGAGGTCTTGACCTACAACGACTGGCAGCAAGTCCGCAGGATGTACATCCACGTGATTGTTTGATCAGGTAATTAACCCTTGGGTTCCAGTTACCTAAATAATGGGTTCTATGTTCTATATTCCCTACTATTTAGGTAACTGGGAGCCCTAGGCTAATGCTTTGGCAATGAACTCAGACCAATTCCCTGCGGCCGAAGACGGGGCTCTGTTGGGACAGTGTGCCTTTCAACATGCTAAAGGAAGAAGTGCCAGCAAAAAAGCAGCCTGAAGAACCGGGACTTGCAGAAAACACGTAGGAAAACCATGATTATTGGACATGAGCAGTTTTCCGCACAGCTCCCGCCTGCACGACTGTAATGCTAAGTCATGCCACCCAACCATGAGAATAAAATAGGTCTCCAGCTAGGAAAGTTTAACCTGCGAGCGATGGCCATGGGGTTTGCAAAAAAAAGCTTCACACTAGGCCCCCAAACCGGAGTCATAGCTCTCAGAATACTGAACCAGCACGGCCACATGCCCAGCGGTACTGATGCTGTGCAACAGGCAACAGGTTTATGGCCGGGTGTGTACAAGGTACGTTCAACATTGATGCTGTCAACATGGTACCGCTGAGTTGGCCAATCCAGCTCGGAACTCCACAGGCGGTATTACGACATGTTAGGAAACAAACGATTCAAGGCGAATCTCGCCGCTAAATATTTCTTTTCCATTATCCCATATAACCCCGAATATACTATATAGTAGTTTCCATTTTCTTTTCCATTATCCCATATAACCCCTAATATGCTATATAGTAGTTTCCATTTTCTTTTCCATTATCCCATATAACCCCTAATATACTATGTAGGAGTTTCCATTGTTGTTTTCCATTATCCCTATACTAAGGCACAGCTTCTTTTACCAGTGCTTGGTCAGCAGCCACGCGGAGAGGCTGCTCAATCAGGACTGGCCCTCTCTGCAGATGCTACTTGTAGCCTTTGGGGTCAAGGCAGTTCGGAGTAGATCGCGGCGTTGGGGGAGTGTGTGTTTGTTTGTGCTATAAGCTTGTGGCACAGGACTTTTGTTTATGGAGTTGGGTATGAACCTACGCTGGCAGGCAAACAATCAGGCATCCCGGTGCAGCAAGTGAGCATAAGGCATTCGCCTTGGTGCTCTTACTATAACCCCTATAATCCCCTACATGACCCTATATATAGCAGTGTCCATTTCATTTTCCATTTTCTTTTCCATTTGATTCTCCATTATGGGGGTAATATCCCTATACATCCCTATATACTTGTTTGCTTGAGCTACCAATAAGGGGCCATGGCTTAAGCTGTTCCGCTCAAGCGCCCACTATCCTGTCATTCCCAATCCGTGCTCTTGTAGCCATGTCCCGCCCAGACCCAGCGAAGTCGGACTACGCCAAGATGGGGATGCAGCAATCCAACTTCTTCATTGTCGCACCTGTCTTTCAGCTGGTCTTCTCGCTGCCTGGGATCATTGGAGCCATTGTTGCTGTGAAGCAGAACTCATTCGTGCAGGAGCGCGTTAACACCATTGCCTCCATGAGCTTCGGCCCCCTTTACCTCGCGGTGATTTTCATGAAGGCCGGTTTGATATTCATGCAGGCCAGCCTCGGCAACGCTCGGCGTGACAGCGGTGTGAACGTGCCGGACCAGCATGCCTATAAAGTGGTGGGCGGGAATGCAGATGGATCTTTGGTCCTCATGGATGATACAGAACCTTTCGGCCGCTTTAATCGAGCGCAGCGTGCCGTGCAGAATCACATGGAGCAGGTCTTTCCAATGGTTCTGGAGTTCTTGCTGGGTGGTTACGTGTTTCCATGGACAACAGCTGCACTTGCGTCAGGCTGGGCTGCACTGCGTTGCTATGGTGCCCTTCTGTACGCCGGCGACCGCCAAGCCAGGGTCAAGGGCAACATCCCTGCCACCCTTTGCACGGGCTCCTTGGGTGGCCTCGTCGTCACCATTGGCATCTTCGCCTGCATGAAATAAGTGGCTCCTGCGGGTACGAAGGAAGCAGCGCAGGGAAGGCGAGCTGGGGAGAGATGTCTTGGACTGACAGGCTGACTTTCATGTTATGATGGCTTTCTGGCTCGGCGCACTCTGGTTTCGGCAATGGGCTCCTTAGCTTATGACTTTACAGAGCTGCCGGTTGCAGATCAAAGATGGGCTGTGCTGCTCGGCTATGGTTCATCAGTTGATGACGCAGCATGACTACACGTTCTGGACTTGTCGCCGGCCCTCCTAAAGCACCATAATTGCACGGCTTCGAACAGCCCATGTCATGCACTTCTTCTTGTACTGGACAACCAGAATCAAGTTCGCAAAAGTAAGATGCTCGTCGTAGAACCTCGTTGAACGGACGTCAGACTCTTCATGGGAGTTGGCTGGGTGCTTTTCAAGATACAGGCAGAAGCTTCCAAACCTAGACCACTTTTGGACGCAACACTTTACAGATCCATTGGCCCCACCAGAAACACCACAACCCGCAAGTTTCCAGGACCTGGGCCCTCGACGGCGCTCCTGCCCACCGCAGTCGGGCCCAAATTGCATGGAGGAGCGCATAGGGCCAGCAGTGATGCAAGATGTGTGTTGTTTGCGCATATTGCTTGTAGAGTTGCAGTCTTTTGCAGATTGGGTACGGCTTCGGAGAACTGTGGATCTGGGAGGGATGTCCAAAGCATTTCGCTCTTAATTTTGCCAGTCACACAGTGGCTTCTGGGTCTGTCTTCCATCTTATGGAGTTGGAGACGCAACGACTCCTGCTTGCTACCTGGCCTAACCATTGAAACTTCAGAAAGAACCTACACTTTTCCGAAGAAAGACAGGGGTCCCTCTAATACACCCCAAATTAACGGCATCCATACTTCTTTGGTATCACCCTGACTTCATAACGTTCCAGCGTTCTTCTTCACTGTCAGGAGCCATGCTGTACAGCTGCATGCCTCAAGGCCAGCGTAGCAGCCAGACATGCTTGTTGGGCTGTGCAGTCTTGAAATTCCACGCTTTGGAATAGTTTTGGGTGCTTAGTGGCATTGCAACGGTTCATCGTTGCTTTGGGCTGACGGTTCTGGGTACTCACACTCCGAACCCTTCGCCTGAGGCATCCACGTTTGTTGAGGTCCGTTAATTCAAATTGCAGGGAGGCAACATCACATCCACATTGACGTTCTTTCGGGGTTCCTGGAAAAAGGGTTATACTCGGGTTTGCTTGTGGACCTTTGATGCACCGGATAGATACCATGGGGATCCAAATAGCCCAATGTAGGTAATATTTATAGACTTCAGGGCCCAATGTAGGTAATATTTATAGACTTTAGGGCCAATGTAGGTAACAATCATAGACTTTGAGGCCCAATGTCGGTATTATTTGTATACTTGGAGCCATAGGGATAGATCTAACGCATAGAACATCCCACCCTCAGCTCAGAAAGGCTAAGCCCAGTTTACCTCTTACCCATGTCATTCTTACCTGTGAGCTATAGTCAAAACTCCTTAAAGGGGGTTACATAGAAGATTATGTGGGGGAGTATTATAGGTGTCATTAAGGTGGATTCTGGGAGTTTAGACTATAGCTCATATGGATGTTTCCAGCAAAAAGAGGAGCCCAATATGAGCGCAGACCTCAGAATGCCGGAGTCCTCTTTATGGTGACCTTCTATCAACAGGAGCCCCTAATATTCAGACGCCCCCACATTATGGTGAAATCACCCTTTCATGTACCATCAACCCTAAACCACAAACCCTAAGCCCTATATGACCCCATTATAGTCGCTTCTATTTTCTTTTTCATTATCCCTATAAAACCCAAAACCTAAACCCTAAACCCTAGACCCTAAATAGTTGCTTCCATTTTCTTTTCCATCATCCCTAGACAACGCCCTTAATAATCCGTATAATGATCCCCTCCAGCTGGCTGTGGCCAAAGCTGAAGCAGGAACAGAAGAGCCGAGGTCGAGGAGGCTTGTCGAAGGGATCCCTTGGGGTTTCCCTAGGGATCCACATAGCCCAATGTAGGTAATGTCTACAGACTTCAGGGCCCAATGTAGGTATTATTTGTAAACTTGGATCCCTAGGGTCTGGGAAAAAGATAACGACATGCGAACAACAAATCACACGGAATTGGGGGATTATAGGGTAGGTGGACAAGAGTCACAGCAACTCCTCTGCAGTAGTGCTATTGAGCTAGTCTGCCTCCCAATGTTGAGGACCGGGCAAACCATCATAACGAACACAGGAACAATGTTAAGCTCACAAGTGCTGAACTTTGACAACGTTATACCGGAGGTAGCAGCGGTAGAACCAACAAAGGCGGCCACCAAGACGTGAGGAGAGATTTAAAGAATATTGAGAACCCCAATAGATTCATGGTTTGTATGTGCCTTTGATGGCCTACTGTTTGAGAGTTTGTGGTTGGTGCGCATGACAGCTTCTAGCTTGAACTATAGCCACGGTAGCTGCACAGAGTGCAGAAGGAAAGCACAGGAAGACCTTCCCCATGTCAACCTTTCAGTTTGCAAACGCCTGCAAGGGGGGACACAGCATGAGTGGGCTCCGGACAGCTCTTTCTTACATTCAGCTATAATATACAATAATATACCATGATATACTACAATATACCCTAATATTCAAGATTTCGTTTGCGATTGCAAGCTTAGGCTTGACCCACAATGCTGTTGAGTCGTGCTTAGGGAAGCCCAATATGGACCCCAAAGCACTATAATCCTTGATATTGGGGACCCCCAAAATGGCACCCCTAAGGCGGGGAAACCAGTCGGGGAAACCCTAAACCCTATACAACTCTCATACGCCCCTATAAAGGATACCGCTGATTCTGGTAAGCCCCCAGGGACGTAGGGAGATTTGAGTCTGGACACTCCATCCGAGTCTGGGGGTTTAGGGTGTTAGGGTTTAAGGGTTTTGGGTTCAGGGTTCAGGATTGCAAGGATCCTAACACAACTAATTAAGACCGCAAACCTCAGCTCCCGAATGCCAGCTTACAAATTCCCCACAGCAGGTATCCTTTTCTCTGTCCTCACATAGGGTCTTCAGGGTGCAGGGCCTGAGAGGGCCCTACACCTCAAAATCCGCAAATCCTACAATAGTCCAAATAAGCCTTATAAACCTTATAAACATTCTAAGCTCTGCAGCCCTAAAAGCACGATGCGCAAAAAAGCATGACCCTGAATTCTAAAAACGTTAAAGCCCCAAAGCCCTGAACCTGACAACCCTACGCCCTGAGCCCTAGATAAAATGGCAGTGTCCATTCCATTTTCTGCCTGCTGTTCCATTTGCTCTTCCATTCCTGTATCTTTACCCCATATATCCCCATGCAGAACCCCATATAATCCACCAAATTCCCTATACATTCCTTTGAAATCCTGCAGGAACCCTACGTCCTAAACCCTAAACACCCTAAACCCCAAACCCTTAACACCCTAAACACCCCAAACCCTAAACCCTGAACACCCAAACCCTAAACACCCTAAACCCTAAACACCCTAAACCCTAAACACCCTAAACCCTAAACACCCTAAACCCTAAACCTAAACCCTGAACACCCAAACCCTAAGCCAGGCCTGCAGGACCTGAAGGTCCTCATGTCGCCGGACCAGGCTTGGTCAAAGCATCAGGGTTTAGGGGGTTTAGGGGGTTTAGGGGGTTTAGGGTGTTTAGGGTGTTTAGGGTTTAGGGTTAGGGTGTTTAGTGCCTGCTTTGGTGTTTTTGGGTTTGAGGGTTGAGGGTGTTTAGGATTTAGTTTGGGTTTGAGGGCTTTTGGGGTTTTAGGGATTTGTTTGGTTCAACCATTGAGGTTCTTGACATCTGCGGCTTTAAGGTGTTAGGGTTTGATGATTTCTTCACACTCCGGTCTTTATTAGATGGCTTGAATACGGGAAAGTAGTGGGCCTTCGTTGAGTGGATTTTCAACAGCCATGGGTTCCCTGTCTCTTTACCAATGGAGAGATCTGATCACTGCAATGGCAGCACCAAAACCTGATAAAAAGATTCGGGTCAGAAGAAGCAATGGGGTCTTATAGGGGATTATGGAAAAGAAAATGGAAACTACAATAATGGGGTTACATTGGGGTTATAGAGGGATTGTGGGGTATATATATATATAAGGCTGTATCAGCATCCACAAAAAAGGTTTTGGGCCTTCTCAACTCAGCTCCTCAAGCTTGGCAGAGGCCCCCAGGCCTTGTGTGATCCCAAACCCTGTGTCCGGAGCAGGTGCAGTTAGAGCTGAAGAGGCCTGGGCAGGGTCTGCAATTGTTCTGTCAACCTTCCAGAACCTTCAAAAGAGGGATTTCAAGGGCTGAGGGTAAGTACACTGTGACTCTGAGAGCGCTGGGAGGACGCAGGAGTGCGAAGTTGAACGATGCGCATGTGCCATGACAACTTGACGGATCCATGGAGCACTGCTTGTCTAATGCTCGCCTGGACATCCTTAGCATGGCCCAAGCCTGTAGGGGTAGGTAATATATAGGGTGTATATTGGGGCTATATAGGGATAATGGAAAATGAAATGGAAACTACTAGGGTTTATAGGGATTCTATAGGGTATATTATGGGTAAGTTTGAACATGTGTTTCAATTCTCACTGCCCTTAATCCCTATACAGTCCTGACACAGCCATGAAGATTTAATTTTCCAAACCTAGGCTGGAGGCGGCCGCAACCAGGCCCAACATCTTAATTCCAGTTGCCGTCTTTGTCCTCAACAGAACACAGCCAGGCGCTACTCATCTACTGGCCACTGTCCACTCCAATTAAGCGATCCAAGGCAAGCTTGGTTCAGGATTGGGTGCCTGGGCTCAGGGGCTAAGTCTACAGCTCCAAGACGTTGGTTGGATAATGTTGGGTTGGATAATGTTGGATAATTTTCTGGCTACAGGTTTCTTTAAGGAACTAAACACCAGAGCCTCCAGCACAGCCGGTATCACCATCATATCCATCAAGGGGCAAAGTGAGATATGAGTTGAGCGTGCCATA